TTCCTTTTTTTTCCCCCCCCCACATTAACCTTTCCCCGGAAATTGGTGGTCTCGGGGGGCCACTTTAATTTTTTGGCCGTTTTTTTTGTTTTGGGGAAAACAAAGGTTGGTTCCCCGGCTCCCTGGGGGCTTTTCCCCGGGATTTATTTTTAACCCGGGAAGGCCCGGGTTTTGGCCCCCCCCCCCCCCCCCCCCCCCCTATGAGCCACTTATTCTGTGTGGCAGTGGCTTTAGGCGCGCAGGAGGGCGACCGCCGATGTAGTACGCGTTCTTGAGCAGGCGCACCGTAATGGAGTGGGCTCGTGGGAGGCTGCCGCCCCTCTGCCTTGTTTTTTAACGTGGTGGAGGACTGGCCGACTGATTGCCCTGTGGCGATGTTTGGTTTTCGATATCAGAGGTTTGGCGTCTTCGTGCTGCGTCGCTACAAAACGATTGTAAATGCGAAGGCGCCGGCGGTGTAGTTTGCATATATATCATGGGATTTGTTTTGCTGACATCTGAATTTAATGGTGGCAATCCGCGTCTATTTGTGTGCGTGCGTGTTCTTGTGTCCATATTAATGTGCTCTGTGGTGAGGTAGTCTATCTATGTAGGTTAGTCAAGTACCGTCCGGATCAGGAGCCAATCGTGTAGATGTGAAGAGAGCGGCTCGGTGGGAAGCTCCAGTTCATACCATATTTTTTTGTAAAACGTGTTCGTGTGGTGTGTCTGTAACCGTTTAAAATGTTTTGGGTATGATTATGATAGTCCGTTTGGGTGGGTGGGGAATCACATTTATACGGTGGTGTTTTATCTTTCGTTGTTCTTGGTAAGGTGCGAGTTGACATAATATATATATATATGCATACCAACGCAGTGCCTTGCTGTTGTTCATGACATTTACTTAAAATAGTGGTGGTTTCTTGTGTCTGTCGCGCTTTGCATTCGTTATCGCTTCTACTGTCTGTTTTTTGGCATACGACTTTATTCCTTCTTTGTTATGAAAGGCAACTTGTGGTATTGGGCGTTGGTTCCGAATCTAGTGTGTCCCGCCTTGCAGGGTAGTTCGCCTGCCGTAGCAACTTGAACTTCTTTCAACACCGATCCGATTTAACATCCCAATGTAGAGCAGCAGAGAACCCTACTACGATGTATGGCTGGTGCTGCCCCACAACAGTGTCACTGCCACGAGGACCGAAAGCACCAATCACACACACGGCCTTGGTGTCACCATGGTGCCACCCCGCCGCTGGCCCCCCGCCCAACCGTCAACAACGCGGAGAGGCAAGAGCCGGTCATGATCGTTCCCTGCGAGACGTTACTTTGTGGGATCAAACAGGCCGGGTTTTTCTTGGTAGTCTGTGAAAAAACGGGTACGTGTTGTGAAGGCACCTCCGCGGCAGCGAGACTGGCTGCAATTTTCACGACGTGAGATTGAACTGGCTGGCAGAGATGAGGTCATTCGTCCGGAAAAAATGATCGCGGTGTAAAAGATACGGAGGAAGTAACTGAGCCGGGCGGGTTCCGAAAGCGCCGGAACAATCGGACTTAATAGAAGCATGCGCATACGGTTGTGGGGTATATCTCCCTGGGACCTTCTGTACACTCAATGGGAGCAAGGCTCTACTGACAGCCATGTACAGCCTTCTTCGTCTGCGTGAGGGTGCCGGGCCTGGTGGATGTGGCCTCTTTCCTTGTTGAACCGTTACAGTTCGTCCTGTATACGGCGTGAACGGTATACATGATCCCGGGGGTCAAACAATACCCCTCCCATGTCCAAGACAGAGTGACGCCTCCTCCAAATTGGCCCCAGCGTCGAACGCGGTGGCGACAACGAGAGCGTCTTCCGACGATCGGACGATGTCATATGGATGGGTGACCACAGCGTGATGTGTCTCATCAACATACCACCGACCGTCACGTGTATATGTAGCGATCTTTTCGTTTTTCATGTGAACTGGAGTGCTGTAGATCGACCTCCACATCGATCGGCTCAATCATATCTCATTCATCGCCAGTTGGATACTCCAGTCAAGCGGTGCACAGGTAGCGTCCATGTCCCTTTCAGCTCACAGCCAGTGCAGCGTCTGATGTTGTCACATGTTGGTTGTGCGTGGCGGTGGTCTGGCGGTTTCGAATCTGATCTTGCGAGGGGTCATGATGAGATAGAGGGGGGGCTGTTCTTTCATCATACAATCTGCGACTCCCCCCAGGGCGAGGGGTTGCGATGGGGGGGAGAGCCGGACCAGGAACAGCGGCATCGGGGTCTGGGCAAAAACACAGCGGGAGAGCGCCGCGGTACGCCAACTCCACAGGCCCACAGCTATGGCTGCGAATCGGCTGGCACGCTCGGCGAGCAAGAGATGGGTAGACGACAGCGAGGTGCCGCAGTGCCCGCTGTGCTCGAACCGCTTCGAGGGCAACTTTCTCGACATCACTGCAAGGGGCCGGACCCACTGCCGCTACTGCGGCGGCGTCTTCTGCACGAACTGCTGCAGCCAGGAGCTCTACATGCCTGAAGACGAGGTGTGTGATACTATAGTTGTTGGCTCGTGAGGTCTCTTGCGCAGAACAGGTACGGGGTTAGGGCGATGGCGCCCGGTCATTCAAAATGACCACGCCTCTGATGCTGCGGGGAGCGAGCGACACAGCAGCCTCGTTTTCCCTTGCTTGCCACCCTCTGCTGCCTGGACCCTGTCGGGTAACCTGGTGGCGTTGACTTTTTCAACGCTCGCCTTTTCTGGACTTTCGACTCTTAAGACCCTCACCCACGACCTATGGTCGGCGGCTATAGCACAGCGCTGCTGTAGCGGCAGGAGGAATGGCGGTTGGGGGGTGGCGGGGAGGAAAGAAGCAAGTGTAGTCCTCCTATGTTGCAGCTGTGTGATACGTTCAGTTTTTTTCAAACCAAACAGATCACATGCCCCCTCATCTGATACTGCTATGCATATTGTAGTTGGCGCCGCTGTTGAGTAGCTTTGTGCGTGGGTGCCTCGGCGCGGGGTCCCGTAGTGGGAAACAAAAGGTGCCAGCAGCTGGGTACTGCCAACGGTCAAAATGTAGAAACTATCCGCGGGCGTGAAAGCCCTTCTACGTGGTGGAGCGTGGAAGCTCGTGTATAATATAGTTGTGGCGTGGAAGCCGGGTGGCGTGGTGGCCCTGATGTAAAGGCATATTTAGGGACGTGGGAGTCCTGAAGGCGTGGAAGCCGGGTTGGCGTGATAGCCGGAGTATGGGCGTGGAAGCCGGGGTTGGCGTGAGAGCCGGAAAAAGGACTTGATTATACACAGAAAAAGGAAGTGAGGAACCACAAGCCACGCACACAAATTCCGTTGTAGACACCCATACCCTCAAACCTGCAATATGTGATAAAGTTGGTACCACCAAATCTAATCCATAGCAACCATTGAACCCCCAAACTCCCCGCTCCATCTGCTCGGGAAATTCTTGCTCGCAATAATCTGTTGATGCTGTGAGTACATCCAACAGCCCCCCTACTCGCTGCATTGGCAAGATTACACCCGGACTCATTTAACTACCTTACACATGCATACCCTCTTATACCAAATACCTGAACGCACGGCTTAGTGATTAACATTCCATCCATCTCATGCTTCGTCTTCGCCAAAACACCATGACCATTAAACCCGAAACAAAACTCGTTAGAACTCCAACCGGTTTGAAACTCTTCTCCTAACCATTAAACCAGAAACACTGCAGAGATTATCCATCGGTCACCCTGGAATTCAACATCGTAGAAAATCCTCAGAAATAGCAATTCAATAGAATCGCACAAACGCAAAAAAACAAAACAAAAATAAAGACTCCAGGACTGCTCATTTAGAATTTCAATCGGATAGAAAGTATTCCCAACCAACCATTAAAACAGAAATACCAAATATAATGTCAATCGGCCATTCTTGAATTCAAACTCGTAGAAAATCAACTCCTCATATACTCAAATCGAAAGAATCACACAAACAAAAACACAACACAAAAAACTCCGGGACTGCTCGATTTAAGTTCATCACGTAGTCCCTGTGGAACACAAAATCCCTCTCAGGTAGCGCCTTCGTGAGGAAGTCAGCATGCTGGTACTGCGACGCTACATGAATGATCTCTACCTCCTTCTCATCTACCAGTTGTCTGAGGAAGTGATGCCGCACGTCGATGTGCTTCGAGTTGGAATTCGAGATCGGGTGTTTTGCGATCTGGATAGCACCCTCGTTATCCTCGTACAGTGGAATGCACGGCCGCAACTCCTTCGGCAACATAAAGCGCCAAACCTGCCTCAAAAAAAGAATCTCCTTCCCCCATGTCCGCCATCGCCACGTACTCTGCCTGCGTGGTGGACAAAGTCACACACTTCTGAGTCTTGGAAAACCATGCTATCGCTCCCCCCGCACACATTACTACTCCCCCTGAAACCGACCTACGATCCGCCGCACGCGAGGCGTAATCCGCGTCGACGAACGTGATCAAAGAAAACCCTGAAATTGTCCCCTTCTGAAAAGAAATCCCGAAAGAACTAGTCCTAACTGCATATCCTAAGATGCCAAGTGCAGCCTTCCAGTGGATCAACTTGGGTGCACTACAGTACCTCGCTACTGCCCTCACCGCATTCGCGATATCCGGCCTAGTCAACAAAGCTATCCATAGCAACGAACCAATCAGCGCGCGAAATGGGTGCTCTACGCTCGGCTCATTCACATCAAAGTCCCAAAGTCTCCAAGTCGTGGGCAAAGGAATGCTTCCGCCCCACTCCACACCATATCTCTCTCCCAACTCCTTGGTGTATGTCTCCTGCGAAATCGTCAATCTACCTGCCTCTCTGTCCCTCTCGTAATAGCAACCAGAGTACCACTGCAACTCCCCCAGAGACTTCACCGGTACGTAATCGCCCAGGTCCTTCCCAAATTGATCACACCTCTCCTTCGTCCCCACTGCAAAAATATCATCTACGTGTACTACTAGAATCAACACTACTTCCCCCCCTTCGACTAAGCGAAAAACACATGAATCGGCCATGCACTGCTCGAAACCCAAAGCCAAAAGACACTTCTTCAGCAACGCGTACCACTCCCTAGATGCCTGCCTCAAACCGTAAAGGCTCTTGTTCAACTGCACAATCTTCCCCGACAACGCACCACATCCTTCCGGCAATCGCATGAAAATGTCTTCCTTGAGAGGGGCCCTCACAAACGCCTGATCGATATCGAAATGACACAACTCCAAGTCAAGCTCACACGCCAAAGCTGCCAACATACGAACACTAGACGAAGCTACTGTGGGAGCATACAAATCACCAAAGTCAATGTACTCCTTCTGCATATCTCCTCTTGCAACAAGTCTGGTTTTGGCCTTCGTAGGAAAGCCGAACGCATCTACCTTCCAATCAAACACAAACTTCGACTTGATACAATTACCGATTGGTTGCTAGGGTCCAACAACCTTGAATGCATCTGCTTCTAGCAACCCAAACACCTCTCTCTTCGTTGCGTCCATGAACTGGGTGCTGTGCACGCTCTCCTTCGCCTCCTTGAATGTCTGGGGAACCCTGAGGTCCTTGGCGTGGCAGCGCGGCATGTCGGGACGCAGAAGGGGTGGCTCCATCTCAGAGATAGCCGAATCGAGGTCGTCGCGCGTCGCAAGACGCGCCATGAGCCCGAGCGGAACGCCCCGCTCAGAGGGACCGATCGACCATCCATACCCCACGCGTCCCTTCTCGCCCGTGTCCCCCTTAGGCAGGATGCCCTTGCTTCCTCCCGCGTCCCCACTCCGAGCTCGCTGCTCCCCCTCCGCCCCCCTGCTCATCATCCCCCTTCAATCCTGGCCGGAGCATCGTCTTCCCGTTCATGACTCGCCGAGCATCCAGCATGGAGAGGAGGACATCTTCGTTCGCCTGAGCCAGCAACCCCATGGTGATCTCGGAAGGAGGGAGAGGAGTACTGACGGCCTCGTTCGGCAGAGATGGGAACTGCCGGTCCTCCGAAAGAGTAGAGAGCTGCTGCTGTGACATGGCGCGCGCATCTCCCCTCGTGCGTCCTCGGACCCGAAGGTCTCCCTTCTCGCCCAGCTGTCTCGAAGCATGGGGCGTCAGGGGCGTGGCGTACCCCGGTGCGGTCGGCGGCGGTCTGGTCAGCCTGGTTTGGCGTGGTTGCGGCGCTCTTCTTGGCGGGGACTGTTCAGCCTCGATGGGTGAGGACGACCATTCCGGGAGCGGCGGCGATATCGACGACGACGGCGACGACCCAGCAGCGGCAGCAGCAGCAGAGGACGGAGGTGGAGCAGCGGCGGTCCCCATCGCATGCGGCCACGGAAGCGGCGACACGGCGGCACCAGGCGAAGGTGCAGGCCATGACGCAGGCCCCGGCGGCGGTGGCGACGGTGACGGCCCGGCGGCGGCAGCAGCGGGCGTCGGTGGAGCGGCGGCGGTCCCCGTCACAGGCGGCCACGGGAGCGGCGACACGGCGGCACCTCGCGAATGTGCA